CATCCCTGCTCACCTTTCTTTCCTGTCCCACTTTCCCACACTCCTACCAGTTTGTCCTGGGAACACTTACTTTCACACAAATCCTCATCTCAGAGTTTGCTTCTTGAAAGGCCAGCAATTACCTAGAATTGGACCTAGCTCATAGTAAGCACTCAACAAGTATTCATTAGAAGGAAGGAAGAAGGCACTAAGTTGCTACTCATGACAATTTCCACCATATTCTCTGATCCAGATTCCTGGAGGTGGCTTACAAAACGGGCCCTCCCCATAGGGTTCTCTTACATCGTTGGAACAGGCATCACCCACGCAATCAGGAAGAGAGGAGCAAAACAGCTGACGCTGAGGTGCACTTTGCCCAGTTAGTGGGGAGGTTTGCCTTACAAATTATATAATTTTGGATAATTTACCTAACCTTTTTTGGGAGCCAGATGTTTCACCCCAGGGAAGAGAGATACAAACATAGAAAGGGCAAAGTCCAGGATAAAACATCTAAGATTGGATTGTACTTGAAGGTATCAGTATGAACTTTTGGTTTCGGATAGATAATAAATAGAAAGATATACCTATGTATACACACACACACACACACACACACACACACACACACACACACACACGCACCTAGCTGAGCATAATTCCTAACTCTGTCCACTGAGAAGTCAAAGAAGCAATGAGTACACCAGCAGCAATGTGATACCCAACACCTAGATCTTGGTTTTGGTTTTTGTTTTATTGAGGTATAGTTGATTTACAATGTTGTGTTAATTACTGCTGTACAGCAAAGTATATATATATATATATGCATTCTTTTTCATATTCTTTTCCATTATGGTTTATCACCGTAACAGTTCCCTGTGCTGTACAGTAGGACCTTGTTGTTTATCCATTCTATATATACCAGTTTGCATCTGCTAATCCTAAACTCCCAAACCATCCCTCTCCCTCCCCCCTCCCCCCTCCCCCTTGGCAACTACCAGTCTATTCTCTATGTCTGTGATTCTGTTTCTATTTCATAGAGAAGTTCATTTGTATCATATTTTGGATTCCACATATAAGTGATATCATATGACATTTGTCATTCTCTTTCTGACTTACTTCACTTAGTATGATAATCTCTAGTTGCATCTATAGACCTTGGTTTCTAAATACCATTCTCCTCAAAAGGAACCAGAGCTCCTTGGAGAAATGGCTAATTCCAGAGCTAAGGCAGGGAAAGTATATAATAAACCTGGAACAATTTATACCAGAAAGTATGGAAATTCTGAAAGAATGATAGGAATATGTCAAAATGGCACAGGAACCAGCCAAATGGTTCCCACTGGCTAAATTTGGGACAATTTTAGCATCAAAAGCGTGACAGCAGTTGATTTTAATCCGTTTAATAAAATAGGAACCCATGAGCTCATACTAAGATAGATAGATAGATAGATAGATAGATAGATAGATAGATAGACAGATGATAGATAGATAGATAAATGGTAGAGCAGGGGGGACAGGAAAGTTTTACCTGACAGTAGAGGGTCAACTAATAAATGTAGAAGAGATGATGGAAGGGATGATTAGCATTTGGAAAACTTTACAGTAATAATTGTTTTGGTCAAGGAGCAAAAATGGATACTAATAAAAATGAGTGAAAGTGTGATCAGAAACAGAATCTTGACATGGTCTGAAAGTATCTCCAGACAAAATACTTATTCATTAACATTACATTGAAAAATCTGGCAGATGTCTTCTATCAAATGATAGAAGTTCACTTTACCAGTTAATGAGACCAGTCAGCATCATGTGCCTTCTGATGTGACGCACTGAGAGGAATATAGAATCACTTCTGTGTTATTCTTGCCAAAAATGCATACCTAAAATCCAGTCATGAGAAAACATCAGACAAACACAAACTGACAGACATTCTGCAAAGTAATTGTCCCATTCACTTCAAAAACGTCAAGGTCATGAAAAAAAGGAGAGACCAGGAACTGTTCCAGATAAAAGAAAACTAATGAGACATGACAATTAAATGCAATACATGATCTTGGATGAATCCTGGACCTATAAAAGACTGTATTAGGGGGAAAAATGTAAGATATTTCTCAAGGACCATTTTAGCTCCCAAAGTCTCCATGAGGTTTACTGCGGCTTTTGTTTGACTGCACCATTTTTCAATTTCTCCTTCTGCCCAATTATGTTTCCTTTCCCTCCCTTTTACAATTGTTAGTCCCAAAAGCACTCCTTGATAAATATCTTGCACATTAAACTCCATCTCAGAGTCTGCTTCCTAGAGAACTCAACCTGAAACAAAAAGAGTGAGTAGGATCTTAACAAGCAAAGGTTGAGACGGTATGCATTCTATACATGAAAACTAGCCTGAGAAAAGTCTTGTATTGGAAGAGAAACAGCATAATTGAAGGGGGAAAAGGATGACTGGAGTCCAGAGAGCAGAAGGCAGCTTGATATGAGATGAAGCTGAAAAGATAGGTTAGGGCAAGCCCATACAGGATGCTGTTGGCCACGTTAATGATTTGAGTTTGTTGTAAGAGTAATGGAAACCTGCTGGAAGGCTGAAGAGTAGAGTGGGGGTGGGCAGGCAGTGCATGATAAGATGGGCAACTGGAATAGATTACTGTTACTGGGGCAGAATGTGGAAAGCAGATTGTAGAAAAGGGAAAGA